TGGTTCGCATTACCTCCAACAAGAGAGTACCCGAACTTATTACCTTTCACTTTTCTCGAACTGATGACCTTCTGTCAGATTCGCTGGGGTTCGTTCGGGTTTACATACACAAAGCTGGCGACGCTGTCAAGGCCATCAAATTGGCCGTCTTCAACGTTGAAGGTGAAGGTGCCCTGTGATCACGCTTGGTGTATGCTTCTTTTCTTACTCCAAAAGCCTGTGATTTTTTCCCCATCCAACGCAATCGTGGAGCCTTTTGTTTCTTCATTCTTGCCTTGCTTTTTCGCTGCCTACCATCTCCATTCAAGAAGGATGAGGAGGGGAAAAGTTGGTGTGTGAAGTCTGCTGTATGCTTGTATTTGTTTTTGACCAGTCTATGCCTCCGACTTAACCCTCTCCTGTTTTACTCTCGAAGAAACTTTCTACTTACTCTTTGTAACTTCTTGCATTAATGTTTCTGAGAAACATTTTCTGACTCGGTCTTTTTCAGCGTGTCTTATAGACGGTAACCTGCACTTATCCATAGTGGCAGAGTTTACTAGCTCCGGGGATGTCCTCGAGAACTCGGCTTGTCTCTCTGAAAATAATGAGTAAACGAGTAAAATTCCGCCTGACATATTCAATTTTCATTTGACGGTAGTCGGCTGATACGTGGATAAGTAGGAGCTTGTATAGTAAAATTGTAAGCCCAGACTCGCTCTGTTCGGATGAAATACAAGTGGCTAACAAATTCGCTCTTTTTTCCACCGTTACCCATTACCTCAGTCCATTTAGAAAATATTCCCATTGCTCAATAGGTGGAGTGGTAGCTTTCGGTCTTGTTTTGTAGTTTACACTGCTGACGGGGAAGGGTTGAAAAAGCAGCTATATTTTTCGTTGTTGGATCATTTGTATCACACGACTAAAGACGGCCTTAAGCTTAGGCATGAGAAATGCGCCCTCAAGGGACATGCGAAATACTTTGGCCAGGTACATTATACAGTAGATGTTAAAACAAATAAATCCGAGGATTTTTACAACATCCCCTGCTACGCAAAAATAGCCTAAGCCACGTTCCTCCAAGTCTTAATGTATAAAAGTAAAATCCTGATAAAAAAGAAGGCATATTGTGGTTTATCAAGTAGTAGTATATACTAAAGTACAATTAGTTGTTTTTCGGAAAGACAAAATTTCGAAAAGGTGAAAAACCGGAACCACTAAGAAAATGTAACTTTTAAATGTGAAGGTAGTGTTTTCATACAAAAACCGAGTGAATAAAGCAGCAAAAGTAGAATTAAGTTTAAAAATAATCTTTTAGAGACATTTTCGGACACACGATGATGTATTACACGCAATGTAAAATAAGGCTGCTAGCGAACACTCCAAAGTTTCAGTCGGTAATAGAAGATTTAACAGAAAGCTTCCAGTTGTTTCTACATCCTTTGAGATACGCTAGAATAAGTCAACCAGATTTTCAATTGATTGTGTCGAGTGGATCGTCACAGGAGTAAGGTATTTCGTAAGCGCAGATGTCGACATGCCGGCCTGTGAATAATGGATTTAAAACAATTTGTAATGTGCAATCGTAAACATACCCTCTTGTGTGCATTGAGGGAAATTTCCTTCCGTCACATTCCTTCGTAATCATTTCGCGAATTCGAAGGCCACGAGCTTCAGATTGTTCCTGAAATTCTGCTTGACACTTAACGAATTTCAATGTTTTTATTCGATTTTCCCTAAATACCGATTTTGTTCTACATATTTACCAAAAACTTTAAAATAACATATTTTTAAAAGCATTAACTGAAATATCCCTATAGAAGACTGTATAGAGTTTGTTTTTACCCATTTCCTCTCTATGGTATGAGCCAAACGCAGTACTGTAGACTGGCGTGAAGTTGTGGCAGGGCCTTCCAGGCTATGTTTTTAGTGTCCAGCTGCGTTGACCGTCAGCCACCGCTGGTTGTTTAATTATTGAGTTGGTGTACAACGATGTGACAATACAATGGACACCTGACTTAGCGAAGAGCTTTGGGCTTAATGTTCAATGACCAGGCTTCAAATTCGGATCTCTGATTAGTTAAACTCGAGGCTGTCGTGTGGCAGTCTAACGAGAGCCAATAAGCCAGAAAAGGGTGTTCCAGTTTTCCTTGCCATTTTCGGTCCACATTTCTCTGTGTAGCTGCATGTAGGCGCTACAGATTGAAATGCAATGCACAACGCGACGGATTTATTTTGCAATCAGTTTGGTAAACTCCATATCACTCTAAGCCTTCATTCCCCAAAAATTCTTAAATAATGTTGTCTGGACATATCAATCAAAGGAAGATTGTCTATTCGTACGGCCAGTAGACGCGCGTCCTCCATA